ACTCCCCCCACCCCAGGGTTTCTGCAGATGCCAAGATTACAGCAATCTGAAATGGAGCTAGTTTTGGGGTTTAGAGATATTTGTGCAAATGACCACTTGAAGTATGGTCCTAATGCGGTTTGGGCCACAGAATGACTGCTTCCCTTATAACTCAAATCTTAAGCCTAATGGTCACACTCAAAAATTTGCTGGTGTTTTAAAAACCTCTTTTCTCACAGGGCAGATATCCTGTTGTGTTTAATGATGCAGAGAAACGGTTGCTTATTTTCTCAGTGGACACACAGACCGTTTAAATGTGTAGACCTGTCCGCATAGGAGTAATCATTGATGCTTCCACCCTTAAAAATGATAGTGCCTCAAAGGATGACCTAGCACAAAACTAAGGTTTTACTCCCCTACCTCCTGGAAAACACACTATTTATGTTCTGTTGATATCTAACATGTTCTTTCATTTTACAGCTTGATTAGAGTTTATAATTACTAAATGAAGGGAATGATAGAAAAAAAATACATTGAAGGTGCATTTAGAGGGACTAGATTTTTTTTTTTTAATTGATCCTGCCATTTTATGTATTAGTATTAGATGGGAAAAAAATGACTTGTTTTAAGAGCAGAGTATATCAACTGCATATGTGTGAATATTAGCTCCAAACTTGGCAGCTGAAGTTCTTAATTACTGTAGTTAAGAATGACAAAAACATATGCATTTACAGTCTGGCTATGGCAACAGGAATTAGGGGGAGAGTCCGCAATATACACAAGAATGAGAAGCTCAGAAGTCTGACTGCTCAGCCAATCAATTCTGTGATTCTTTTCTGAAGGGGTCTTTAAAAATGGAATAAGTGTAATAAAACAAGGAACAATTTATGCTGCAAGTTATGCATTTAAGTTTTTCTTTTTCATTTCATAATTGATAAATGATAAACAGCATATTGTGCTAATTTGCCTCTTAAGCAGCCAGTGCTTCTGTTCTTCTGGGCTTTTTTAAAATAAGGTTTGACTGGGACCACCCTGTAATTCCTGTATAGTGAGCTAAAGACATTCTCCACTCAGTGTTTTAGTGTGACTTAGCACCAGTAGAATGTCTCAAATACAAAGAAGAGGTTAATCCTTCTTGGCAAGAGCTTCATCAGCCATTGCCTTATGATTGTCACAAATTGTGTTAATTTAGGGACGTGGGTTGTGTAGCTCATCGTTTCCTATGAGAATTGTCCCACTGGTGAATTCTGTTTAAAAATGACTTTAGAAGATCAGCATATTATTTTTCAGATAAAATGAAGAATTGATCAGATGAGAAGACACAGATTGCTTTTCTTCCAAGGACACAGTGAACTAAAAGTGAGAAAAATTTAAGGTGTAAATGATATTTAAGGTGAATTATTTCTGGAAAGAATGTCTTCTTCAGTTTCAATGCAGCATATGACAGATCATATAAAATGTGCTAATAAAATACTTTAAAAAAATGCTCAAGCTTCGTTCTTTCATTGATTCCCTTGTAAGTACCTAATGTATTTATACTGTATTCTGTACTGCATAACCAAAGGTAAATAACAATATTTTTGCTTTTTAGCTCATTCCAGATTGTGAGAGATCAGATACTGATGGGCATTTAACCTGTTCAAAATGGAACCTTTGATTTTTTTTTTTTTTTTAACCACTCCCACCATACTGCGCTGTTTTTCCAGCCTTTTCCAAATGCAGTGTCATACCATGTAAAAAAACCATCCTCACTGTCTCCGAAACTCCTGCCCCCACCTCTTTCAGATAATGACTCATTTTCATTGAAAAAGTAGCAGCCATTAGATGGAATTCTCATATTTTCTCATATTTTTCCACCACTGAACAATCTTCCCTGCAGGGGTGCTTTTTTTTTGGTTTTTTTTTGCCCCTTGTTTTTTTCTGTTCCTGTTAAAAAGCAAGAAGACATTGTATTTCAGCAAAGGCCAAAGCACTTCTGCCTCATATCATATCCTTTCTCACCTTCTCAAGGACTTTGTTCCTTCATACATCTCTCATCTCTTGTCTGCTTTTTCACTTTCTCCTGCATCAAGCTCAACATCATACAAATAAACTTTTGATTTTCTATCTTTTTAAACCTCTTTGGTCCCTCTTCTCCTTGCAGTTACTGCTCCACTTTACAGGTAAGCTGCTCAAAGAACTGTGCCTCCACCCTATCTTTAGTTCCTTGCCCCTCCGATAGATGAATTTGTCACTCATCTGTCTCCAAGTCACCAGTATTCTGACTGGCCTTTCAGGTTCCACTTCTATCCACCTCCCATCCATTCCCTAAAAAGAAGCTAGAATGAGCTGTTAAGTGAGATAAAAATTTACATACAGTGAAATACACAATTTGATGAGTTTTGAAAATGTATACACCTGGTACCTGTGTAACCAACACTAATCAACATATAGACTATTTTCATCATTCCAGAAAGTTCCTTCTTGTTTCTTTTAGAATGATTCTTTAAAAATAGAAATCAAATTACTCCTTACTTAAAAAATACACAAAGCAATTCTATATGTTGTTAATATCTCACGTTGCCGTCGAGGCAGTTCCAACTCATGGTGACCCCGTGTGTTTCAGAGCGGAACCGTACTCTATCGAGTTTTCAATGACCGATGTTTTGGAACTAGATTACCAGGCCTGTCTTCTGAGGCACCTCTGAGTAGACTTGAATCTTTAGCCTTTCCGTTAGCAGCTAAACATGATAACCATTAGTACCCCACAGAGATTCCCATATATTGTTTAAACACCACCAAAACAGCAACAACAAACCATTACTGTCAAGTCGATTCTGACTGATGACAGCCAGATAGGACAGACTAGAACTGGGGTTCTTCACTGAAGCAGGTTGCCACATCTTTCTCCTGAAGATTGGCTGGGGTTTAAACTGCCAACTTTTGGTTGACATCCTAGTGCTTAACCACTGCACCAGCAGGGCCCTTTCCAAATACATTTTTGGGGGAGGCTTATATAAGGAATATATATGCCCTGGTGGTACAATGGTCTAGTACTCAGCTCCTAACCCAAAGGTCATTGGTTCAAACCCACCCGTGGCTCCACAGGTATTCCCATAAGATTCTAGCCTAGGAAATGTAGAGGATGGTTCTGCTATGTCTTACAGAGTTGTTAAGAGTAATCAATGTGATGGCACACAGCATCAACAACATAAAAGGCATGGTGCAGATGGTTAAGCTCTCAACTACTAACTGCAAAGGTTGTGATTCAGAGCCACCAGGAGATAGATGCCTTGTAAGAAAGGCTTTGTGATCTGCTTCTGAAAGGTCACAACCTTGAAGACCTAGGGAGCAATTCTACTCTGCAAACATGGAGTCACCAAGAGTTGGAATTGACTCAACAGCAGCTGATTAATCGAAGGAGAAAAAAACACAATAGTGTCAAGCATTTGTTGTTGTTGTGCCATTGAGTCGGTTCCGACTCACAGTGACCCTGTATAGGTCTTCTGAGGAGCTATTGGTGAGCTTAAACCACTGACCTTGCAGTTCAAACCGACCATGAGGTCAAGTGTCTATCCTGTCTAGGAAATGTTAGAGTGAATTGTTTGATGAACACCAAATTCAAGAGAGTGGCTATCCACGGTGGGATGGGGTGGGGTATAATCAGGGTACATAGATCAATTATATTGGTAAGGTTTTATTTCCTCATCTGGATGATTGGCTTACAGTCTTGTTACTCTTTTTGTAACTTTTATACGTCTGAAATGGAGTCCTAATATGGCGCTGTGGGTTAATGTGCCAGACTGCAAAGCCGTTTGAACTGCAAGGTTGGTGGTTCAAGCTCACCAGCTGCTCCTTAGAAACCCTATACAGGGTCGCTATGGGTCGGAACCGACTTGATTGCACTTAACAACAACAACATATGTCTGAAATAACTTTTTCAGCTTTCCATTGAAATACAATTTACATATAGACAAGTACACAATCCTACATGTGGAGTATGATGAATTGCCATAGAATGAACACATCTGTGTAATCAGCAACCAGATCAAGGAATAGAATATTACCAATCTCCCAGAGGCTCCTCCTGCCTCATTCCAGTTTTTCATACTCCCAGAGATAACCATTGTCCTGACTTTTAGCAACATAAATTCATTTTGCTTAATCTAGAA